ACAGGAGTTATAGACAGCTGTGAGCTGTCATGTAGGCACTGGGAACTGAACCTGAGTTCTCTGGAAGAACACCCAATGCTCTTAACCACTGAGCCATCTCTCCAGCCTCCTAACAACAATTCTTAAAGGAAACGTTGTATTAACTTCTCTCAAGTTCCTTCCCACATCAGTCCTTTCTGTATCTGTGCTTCTGGAAGACTCTAGCCTTCCAAGCATAATATAAAATATAATATGAAAAAAATAATTAACATAGTTTAAGAAGGACTAATTCCTTGTGCTCTAATACATAAAATTAAGAATGAACGGCATGCTGAAGAAGACAACGGACACAGTAACTGAGTGGATTGCCAGGGCACTGGAGCATTTCTTCCCTCCAAACAGAACTGGTGGTGTCTCCACGCCTTTGGTATCAGAGGCAAGGGAGGCGGTTGCTGTTATTGGCCTGGGCTTTCTGCAGAACGGGTTCCTAAGCACAAACAGGAAGATGGTGCTATGAGAGCTGAAGAGGTAGAGATTGCCATTCCATTAGGAGGTAGAGGTACAAAGGAATGGAAGAAGCAGAACCTTCAAAAGAGAAAAAATTTTTAAAAGTAGAATAAATATATTGGTGAGAAGAAAAAAAAATAGTTCAAGCCAGGGCAATGGAATTAGTTGTTTTTCTCATTGCTATGAACAAATTCCTGACAGACACAACCTAAGGGTTTATTTACTCATGGTTCAGGAATGCAGTCCAGTGTGACAGAGAAAGGACAGCAGACCCGTGAAGCTGCTTCATCACATCTCTGGGGATCATGAAGTAATGACAGTCTGAACTGCAGACAACCTATAATCCTGAAGTCCAACACCTACAGTCCGAGGTTGGCCAGCTTGGCTCCTGTCCAGAAGACTTTCCTACCTCCTAAAGCAGCCTGGCTTGTTTTGGACCAAGTACTAAAGCACACAGTCCATTCAGGGCATTTCACACGTCAACTTGAACAGGAAGAGAAGAGCATCAACATAGCTAGATAAATACAAGCCCGAAGAAGAGGGTAATTGGGTCTGGTCACAGGCATCTGAAACATGTTGCAAGGTTGGAAATTCATTTTGTTCCCTGGTGAACCACCCAAGTTTTAAAGTGGAGAAGTGACAAGACCAATTATGTTAAATGATTCTAGTAGTAATTACAGAAAGAAGATAGAGGAGAAGAAAGGGGGGGCTTGGAAGGAGGAGATAAAGAAGGTAGAGAAAGAGAGGAGAGCCTTTAAAAGTGAAAGATGAGACAGGAGCCAGCAGAAGTCTGTTGCAATGGCTTGTGCCTATGCAAGATTCTGGGGAGAAAGAACAAGTTTGGGGAAGGCAAAGGAAGAGAGCATGCTGATTCATAAGTTACTCCATCTTCTCTGATAGCATGCTCATACCAATAAAAGAGTTGGGCATGTATCGTTCCAACTTACACATATTTATCTATGAAAACTATGTACTGTTCAACTATTATACTCACATTATCATGTAATTTGAGGCATCTGTGCATGTTAAAAGAGTAGAGAATCTGTTCATTCATGTTTTGGAAGCTCAGTTTCTAGATGACCTAATTTTGATGGCCTCATGTCAGTAGGGGCTCTCATATCAAAGTGCTTCACACTTACAGTAGGAACCATCCTTAGCAATGAGTGGATGTAAATTCTTATTTCAAGTAGTTTTGATAATTTTATTTTTGATAATTTAAGAGATTTTAGTGACCATTTTATGTAATATATAATTACATATACATATATTCTTGTTTAGAATACTTTGTAAGTGTCTGTGTGTGCTTGCCTGTGCCTACAGAGGCCAGAAGAGGGTGTTCAACTCCCTGGAGCTGGAGTTACAGGAGGCTGTGACTTGCATGGCTACTGAAAACCAGCTTGTAGTTTTCTGGAAGAGTAGCAAACACTCTTAACTGATGAGCCACCTCTCCAACCTCCTGATTGATATTTTAAGAGTGGTTTAAGTAAAACAGTAGATACAGTGGCACTTTCTCATTTCTCTGGTGTTTAAATAAGGAACAACCAGGTACCAGCTCACAGCTGTCTGTAACTCCTGTTCCAGGGGATCTGATGGCCTTATACAGACATACCTGCAAGTAAAACACCAATGTACACAAAATAAAAAAATAAATAATTAATTTTAAAAAAGAATTAAAAGAATTGTTATTTAATGCCTATAATCCTAGCCTCCAGGAGGCTGAGATAGTGGGACCACATGCTCAGTGCAGCTGGTACCATACAGGGAGACTGAGTCCACTCTCCCTACTCACAAAAACATTAAGTCCCAAAGAGAGTGGCCATTATGAGTTCCTCTCAGATGTCTGATGGCTAAGAGAAAAGACTGTGTGGTGTAGTCAGGAGTATCTGAAAACAGGGAGCACTTGGCAACCTGTGAAGAGGGACATTGTCACAGATAAAAGGAACACCATTGGGAAAGGGGAGTGAGGAAACTTTCTTTGGCCAAGAATGGAAACGACAAAAAAAGAATAATTTGTTAACTTGTTCTAAAGTGATTAACAGTTGGAAGAGACATCAGATGTTTCCTCCCCCTTCTCCTCTTTTCTCCTGGCTCCTTAAAATGTGATTAGAAAGGAAGTACCCAACTATGGATTCATGAACATTCTAGATACCTTAGGGTTAGGTAACTGAGCAGGATACGTAATTCTATCAGTTTAGCATTCAACAAGAAAAGACACAGCAAGGAGATGGGCGGGGTAACAGACTTGAGGATTACTTAGAGGAGACCCAGGGCAATGCAAACACTTGCCTGGATAATTCCATGGACAGTGAAATGACGAGGTATGGAGGCTAGAAGTAGACAGTACAAGGAGGCCTGTGATGAGTTTACACTAGAACATATGTATGTTTATGGATCCCTGAGAGTAACAGGGACCAAACTGATGGTGAGCTGATGCTGAGACCACAGAAACACCGGAAGCAGCCTGACAACTGGCACCCGGCTAGTGCTCTTAAGAAGGGATCAAAGTGGTTGCACAGTTTGCATTCCCACCAGCAATGGATGAGTGTACCCCTTTCTCCACAACCTCTCCAGCAAAGGCTATCATTGGTGGTTTTGATTTTAGCCATTCTGACAGGTGTAAGATGGTATCTTAAAGTTGTCTTGAGATCTCTAAGGAGGTTGAGCATGACCTTAAGTGTCTTTTGGCCATTTGAACTTCTTCTCTTGAGAATTCTCTGTTCAGCTCAATGCCCCATTTTATAATTGGGTTGATTAGCCTTTTACGGTCTAGTTTCTTGAGTTCTTTATATATTTTGGAGATCAGACTTTTGTCAGTTGCGGGGTTGGTGAAGATCTTCTCCCAGTCAGTGGGTTGCCTTTCTGTCTTAGTGACAGTGTCCTTTGCTTTACAGAAGCTTCTCAGTCTCAGGAGGTCCCATTTATTCAATGAGGCCCTTAATGTTTGTGCTGCTGGGGTTATACGTAAGTCTGAAAAAGCCTGGGATAAAATCAGACTTGCTGAACATAGCGGACAATAAGGACTACTGAAAACTCAAGAAAAATGGCAATGGGTTTTTGATCCTACTGCACGTACTGGCTTTGTGGGAGCCTAGGCAGTTTGGATGCTCACCTTACTAGACCTGGAAGGAGGTGGGTGGTCCTTGGACTTCCCACAGAGCAGGGACCCTGATTGCTCTTTAGGCTGACTAGGGAAGGGGACTTAACTGGGGGAGGGGGAGGGAAATGGGAGGCAGTGGCGGGAAAGAGACAGAAATCTTTAATAAATAAATAAATAAAGTAAAAAAAAAAAAGAAGGGATCAAACAAACAAACAAACAAACCAGGTCTAGAGATAAAAGAAAATTTGCTGGATAGATACCAAATGAGAGAGTGGTCAACAGTTTTGGAAGCTACACTAGCCGACCAAAATCAACCATAGAGGTTTCGGAGGACAGGGCAGACAGGAGACAGAAGTAGCACGGCTGGGCGAAGAGAGCATCACACCCTTTTAAATCAGATGGAGGAACAGAAGAGATAGGTCGCTAGAGGTTGCTCCGCTGCTTCACTGTCCTTCAGGTTCTTACCCTGCAGAATTAGAGAAATGATTCATTCCCGGTTATTTCTAATATTTTAGAAAGCCTTCTGGTAACCGCAATTAAGTACAACACCAGGTTTGTTTTTGCCATACATCATACCAACCTGGGTGGGGTGAGGGCTAACACTGGTTATTGAAGGGGGTTCAGAAACTCTAATCTGCTGTTGATGACATCATAGAATTGTCTAGGATGTGACTGGCAGGCCACATATTGTTAGCCCGGTTATCTGGTTGTTACCGTATCTGATTCAATTCTGCCAGCCTGCGATCAAGCTCAGATCAGAAGAAAGACAGCCAAAATTAAGCGGCCATTTGCGGAGAACAGTGCCTAAATGTTTGTACACTTATTTAACTTTACTGCTTATTAACATTATACCTATGACAGTGATGTATGTGGTTTCATTTAAGCGACAAGAATCTTTCATGATACGAAACTCGTGGCTGGAAATATAATTTAAAAGATCCTTCAATGGAGAAGGGGAATGTGTCGACAGGGTCTGTAAGTCCCTTCTCAATATTCCAGAATGTTGAGAGGAGGCTATGAGCACAAGTTTCAGAATGGCTAAAGAACACGTGAGAATACCTCCGACTTGACTGACTCATGCTCACCACAATGTGTCAATGGCCATTCTGGCCTGCAACGCAACTTGAGACGCGGAACGTTGGTTTTATTGATCATCACAAAACATTAACCAGGATTGTCGTGGACAAACCAATCTGCCACCCTGGCCAGCTTCTGTGTAAACAGGAAGGAGAATGGGGCTCTCCTAAGGACACCTACACTAACTTAAGCCTCTGTCAGGTTCCTTCTATGCTGTTGTGAGTGCAAGTACACCCACTGCAAGAGGACAAATGGGTCAATAAGTTTCCAGAGGGCCTAGCCAAGGCAGCTGGGGAGCAAATAGTGAGGGGAGACCCCTACTCTTGGGTTGAGTGTTCCATCTGAGGTTCAGGGGAACTGGCCAGGTTGGTCGCGCGTGGCTTTAAGCCCCCACGACTCTGGGCGGGCACCGGGAGCAGCAAGTTCAGAAAGGGGTGTGATAGGGAAGTAGGGAGTGTACTTTCCGGAACACTGCTTCTATTGCCCCAACCTAGGCTCAGGTAGCGGCCAGTGCCCCAGGAGACAGCCCCAGAGCCGGCACCCCCATGTCTGTGCAGCCGCCGCCGCCCGCCGGCGCCCGTGACCCCGTGACCCCGGAGGCCCGCGCGGGCCCGGTGACCCCGGAGCCCCGGGCATCCGGACCCCCGTCACAGGCGCAGCCGCTATTAAGGCAGGAGGCTACCGGGGAGGAGGAAGGGGAGGAGACAGGCGGCCGGGGCGCCTGGGGCACCGGCACGGCGGAGCAGCGGCGGCGGGGCTGGGGGGAGGCCGACGAGGGCCCGGGCGAGGCCGGCCGCGCCGACGCCACGGGCTCGGGCTCCCCGGCGGGCGGCGAGGGCGACGGGCCAGGCGGCAGCCGGCGGCCGCTGCTCGGCTGGCTACCGCGCCGGCCGCCCCGGTGCTGCCCCTGCGCGGCGCCCCTTCCCCGCTCCGCCGCGCACTGTTGTCATGGAGGAACCAAGATGGCGGCTCTGGCCTACACCCTGGGCAAGCGGGAGATCAACCACTACTTCAGCGTGAGGAGCGCCAAGCTGCTGGCGCTGGTGGCCGCGCTGCTGCTCGCCGCGTGCCACCTCGCGTCCCGCCGCTACCGAGGTGAGCGGGCCCTCCCCCTGCCCGGGCCGGCCGGCCGGGGGAGGCGGCGCCGCGGCCCCGAGCGGAGCGCGCGCCGGAGGCCGCCCCCCGCCGCAGCACGCCCACGCGCCTGCGGCCTCCCGCGGGCCCAGGCGCCCCACGTGCCCCGCGCGACCCCCGCGGGCCCGGGGCCGGGCCGGGCGGTGCGGCCCTCGGCCCCCAGCTGCCCGCCCTGGGGCTGGGACCTGGAGCCGCGCCCGGCCCGCGCTCAGGCGGCGGAGGCCGGGCGCGGGGCCCCCCGGGCCAGCCCGCGGCGCCGCCTCCGGGACGCTGGGGTCGCACACCGGGCGCCCACGGGGTCTGGCTTCTGCCCTGCAGCCTCCGGCCCCAACGGTTGGACCCAGCTGTCTGGGCAGCCCTGCTTGTCCTTGCCAGAAGAGCCACTCTGGCTAAAGGGGAGGTGTCACCAGCCTTCCATACACTCTTTTCAAGAGTTTGGGTTGCACACTTTTTACAAATAAAAGGCACTGAGGCAAGGATTTTGGGTTTTTTGTTTGTTTGCTTGTTTGCTTGCTTGCTTGTTTGAAGAAGTTGGGAGTTGACAGACACGGGCAGTCGAAGCAAGTATTAAAGTTTTTGAAAGCAGGCCTTCAGTATGGGTCTAGATAGTGGTGGCAAGCTGGAAAGGAACTATTATTCTTCATTTATCAAGAGATAGTTGCTTGTCTTTTTGATTGACCCCCCCCCCTTATGAAAAATGCCACCAGGACAGACAGTGAGAGAAGGAGGGAAATGATAGGATCTTTTATTTTTGACGCTTGGTACTACCAAAGCCATTATCTGGACAGCTCTTGGTGACCCGACATAATTAGTCAAGTGTGGATAGGTGTACATTAGCGCCGGACCCATTTATACTGTACAACCCTTTTAGCAAAATCTGCAGTCACTGGGGTCCTAGAATCTGAGCTCCTTCCTCGTCTCAGGCAGTCCCTGTCAGGCAGTCCCTGAACGTAGAGGCCATTTTGGTGAAACTCAGTGCTTTGTTTCTGCCTGCTCTTGAGTCTATCAGATCCTATACTTTAGCGCCATAACTGGATTGCTATGTTATAAATATTCTTGTGGCCATTCTCATCCAATCCTCTACAGAGTTCTAGCAGATGACCTGGGAAAGCCTTGGTTCGTCTACAGCCGCCATCAAGAACGCTATGTTTTCATATATAAAAATACACTTGAGTGTTGATGCACTGACTTTTGATAACTTGGAAAACAAGTTTCTTTTAAATATGATAAGTCATTTTATGCTGGTTTGGTATGAGCTGACTGTAGTCCGGCTCAGTTTGTGTTTATGACGCTGGCAGAGCTGAGGTTCCTCACTGTAATGCTGTCGTCCTAAATGGAAACAGCTAGCTTGCATACAGTTTTTCCTTGTGCTTGTTGTCTTCGATAACGTGGAATACTAATTTTTAATACTGCATCTTATCAAGATCTGCCATCAGCAGAGAAATTAGAATGTAGGATGGGCCCTTTGAGTCAGTGTAGCAATCTGAGATCGGAAAGCCTCCTGCAGCAGTGGCTCATGGCCTCCCTGTTGCCTTGAATGGGAAGCAGTACCCCTGGTGTGGGCATTTGCGAAGACTCAGTATCAAGAACTTGAACCAGAGTCTGTTTGGGAAAAATAAACGTCCTACCAGGACCATATTAGCCATCCATGTCTTGGCAGTGTCAAACCATGTCAGATGCAGTGCCTTTCACATATAAACATGCGCTTGAGCCGCATGGAAATCTTTGGAACAAGAAACGGCTTCCTATCTTAGATGGATGGTGGAGGTATAGTCCACATCAGGGTCTTAGGTGAGTGGATGTGAACATGCATCAAGGAAGAATGAGTTCATACGCACACTCACATACATACACACACCTCTTGGTTTGAAAGTTATTCAACATAAAAGAATTACACATTTTGGAAAGTAAAGCTTCCCAATTCTGTGCATTAAATTGAGCACTTACTGTATGTTTAAGGTGTTCATACTTCATTTCATCTTTACAGCGTCTATGAGGTACGGTATTTCATCTCTCCCCCCTTTAACACTTCTGTAATCAAGAAGAGTCTTTAAGACTTTGATTGCATGTCAAAGTTTAATTGGTAACATTTTTTCCTGCTATGAAAAAATGTGTCATAAATTCTGTGAATTAGAGAATTATTTACATTTTAAAGACGAAACCAGAGAAGTTAAGTAAATTGCCTGAGAATATACGACTTGTCAGTGGCTAAGCTGTGATTTAGGACTAGTTAGAGAGCCTGGTACCATTATGTTATAGTCTGCCTTTCTGGGAGCTTGGTGGAAGGTTGAGGGAAGATGACGTTAATTTAAAATACTAATGCTAGAGTTTCCCCATTGTTTTTCTTTTTCTGACCAAGTGATAATATTGAACTTGCTTTGTTACCTGATATCCTCCCATTCTTCTAAGCTCTAAGCTTACAGTGTAAAAGCACTCTTGCTTCTGCTGCTTCTCTCTACCTGCAATGGCCCCTCTTCCCTTAAATTACAATTCTCAGGCCTTTTTCAATGCTTGACTCAAATGTTACCTTCACAGTGATAGGAATATGGAGGAACCAGTCTCTTCCAGAGCAACTTGTACATGGTTGCTGTGTTGTACTTACAAGACTTGATGTTGTTCTCTTGCACACACACACTGAGCTTCCAAGTGTATCTTAACTGTTTTTAAATCGCCAAAGCCTAACACACAGTAGGAACTCCATAAACACCTATTTGGTGAGTAGACATCCAAAATTTATTTTCTCTTATTTTTCTATCTGCACTTGGTTCAGTTGTGATTCTAAGTAAATTTTGTGCTCTAATCTCAACTTTAGGAAGAAGAGGTTTTTTTTGAATTATTAATATGTCTTATGATATGTTTGAATGAGTTTTAAAATATATTCTTTAAAATGTCCGTTATTGTGTGGTTCTGGAGTAAACACATGATTTCTGACCAGAGGCTGGAAAAGCTTTAAAGTGGTAAAATTAATGTACTTCAATGTCTTAAGTTTTTTGAAATTGATTTTCTTTCCATCACTAAGCATATGAAATGTCAATATTAAATATCTCCCTGCCTCTGCTTTCAAATGTTAGGGTTAGGATGCTCGGCTCTCTAAGGAAAAATTTAAGTGATGTTTTCAGCACAGAATCAACTTGCTGAATCCTAGACGTATTCTTCTATGGAACATAACACATGCTGTATGAGCTGGTGCTTTTAGAGTTGATGGGAGGCAACACAACCGTACGGCGACTCAGTCTGAAAAGCAGCTTGTTACTTATGAAGCCTATTGGAGATTTCCTTTAGTTGTTACTGGTGTTTTTAGTTTCTTGGTGTGCTTATTTATTTGGTTTGTTCTTGCTTTCCTTTCTGTTGTTGGGAAATACCATGCATAAGAATTGGAGTGTCTGTATTCACTAACCAGAAAGATTATACTAAGCATAACAGAGAAAGGAAGAAGATAGCCATTCATGTAGATAGTTTGAGCATGGGAGCCAGCTCTTTGGGAATTGTCTTTAAAAGTTGTATTACTACTTTGATTTCTCCAAGTTCTTTGTAATCTAAGTTGGTTATATTAAAAGAACTATCAGATTTATATTGGGCAGTTGAAATTAGCAACTAGAGATTCCTTTTTTGCTTTTGATATAGTTGAAAAGGATTTGCATATTGTAAAAATAAAAAAGGAATATTGTCTTATTTTAACAACTATGTATACATTTACTAATTTGATCCGAAAGCATTTCCTTCCTAAGAGAATGTGCTTTAGAATATGGAGTTTTAGATAATTTTGTAAATCATGTTAATTTATTTTTAATTAGGTGTGTGAGTACTTATTCCTGATATTTTTATTTTGTTAAATGTGAAAAGGCCACTCTTACACACTTAGCAATGTCAATCACCAGCTGGCTTTCACTGGCATATGAAAGAACGCTGTTCCCTGAGAGACTGTATGTCTCTGGAGTACTGTGTTGGTAGAGCTTGGTTACTGATCTCTCCAAGTTCCCTTTGCTATAGGATTTTTCTAAAATGGGTTCAGGACATTAGACCTGTTGTTTTTCAGTAGATGGCCCAAGGAGCCAAATGTTGGCAGTTGTACCAAGAATGAAAAGAACTCTGCATGTCAAGCATTTCTGGAGAAGAAATTAAATATTTTAAGTTATGGGCATGTCACTTCCATCTGCACACATGGAGACACCGAGAGTTGATCAAAACGACTGTTTTTGTTTAGGCTTTTATTAAAAAATAGAAGGGTAGGAATACCCACAGATTTGATACCTCACTTTTGCAACTCATATTTTCTAAAAAGTAGTTGTTACTAACTCACAAGTTGGTTTTGTATGTATATCTGAAGAGGTAGAAATGCAATAAATATCAATTTTTTGTTCTCCTTTTAAACATACTATAATTTATAATAGTTTTGCTGTAGGCTTGTCATAAAATACTACATGCAGAAGAATGTTTTTAGGAAAATAGCCTAATTGTGTTTTTCTGTAATCCTTCCTTTATTCATTTTTGGTTATTTGTGTGCTTTAATTTTGGGGGGGTCTAAAACTAGATTTTAAAAATTGGAATGAATTGAGATCTATTTATCTCTAGTATAGCTTGTTAGAATCTTTGAAATGAAAAACTTGCTGAAGGTATATTTGCAACTAGAAAAACTCAGCATTGGTATCCTGCACTTTTTCCAGTTTCCACCAGGAAGATGGCAGCGTTGGGGGTTCTCCCTTCTGTTGTGTTCGGGACACTGAAGTAACAGCACTTTTGTGTTGACTGTTTGTCCTTCTGGTGTGTATTATGGCAGTCGAGACAAATGAATAACTAGACTGAGAAAAAGAGGTGTGAGTGCGAGGCTGTAGTCCAGCGGTGGACTGCTCCTGTGCTGTGCAGGAGCCCTGGGTGGATCCAGTCTCCAAGGAAACAGAAACAGCAGCCATCTTTTTTTTAAATTTATTTATTTATTAAAGATTTCTGCCTCCTCCCCACCACCGCCTCCCATTTCCCTCCCCCTCCCCTTGTCAGCCCAAAGAGCAATCAGGGTTCCCTGACCTGTGGGAAGTCCAAGGACCACCCACCTCCATCCAGGTCTAGTAAGGTTAGCATCCAAACTGCCTGGCTCCCACAAAGCCAGTACGTGCAGTAGGATCAAAAACCCATTGCCATTGTTCTTGAGTTCTCAGTAGTTCTCATTGTCCTCTATGTTCAGNACTGCCTGGCTCCCACAAAGCCAGTACGTGCAGTAGGATCAAAAACCCATTGCCATTGTTCTTGAGTTCTCAGTAGTTCTCATTGTCCACTATGTTCAGCTAGTCCGGTTTTATCCCATGCTTTTTCAGACCCAGGCCAGCTGGCCTTGGTGAGTTCCCAATAAAACGTCCTAGCCATAAATAAAGGACATTGAGCCTATAATTCGCTATCCTAGAGAAGCTAAATAAGAAGGTGAACCCAAAGAAAAACATATAGGCATCTTCCTGAATATTAACCTTCATCAGGCGGTGTAAGGAGACAGAGACAGAGACCCACATTGGAGCACCAGACTGAAATCTCAAGGTCCAAATTAGGAGCAGAAGGAGAGAGAACACGAGCAAGGAACTCAGGACCACAAAGGGTGCACCCACACACTGAGACAATGGGGATGTTCTAACAGCAGCCATCTTTGAGTTCCTTGAGCCTTACCCTGAGTGCCTCCATACTGAGTGTTTGTCAGCTCTGCAGTGGTCCTTTTATTGGAGCACTTAGCCTGATCTAACATGATTAAACCAGCTTTAGCGTGCTGTTAACGGTTAATAAGAAACTAGAGATTAACTTTAACTCCTATTTTCCTATACTCTGCAGTTAATGCAAATATCTCCCCTTTCATCCTTTGGGTCCTGGGTCTTTGGTTAAGGTAAAATAAAATGGCCAAAGAATGTAGAACGGTTCTCCCAGTTTACACAGAGCCAGAGGGATCCTAGCCAGGAACTCTAACCCTAGGTTTAAACCAGGTTTCTAGATGCTAATGCAGAAGTGTAGTTGTAACAGGAGTCATTTCCAAAGGCTTTCTTTTAGCCCGTACGCTTTATTTTTCTCAGTCAGAAACAAATTGATAAAATGCCCTAAAACTTATTTCAGATTGAGTTGATGTCTGAGGAAAGAAAGTGGAGCTAGAAGAAACCATCAAAACTGTGACCAAGCATCTAGGGGTTAGAAGTCCTTAGCAGGCACCAGAGAGGCTTCGTCCTGCCGCAGATGAAGTGATGCAGGGACCCACAGTCAGAGTCTAAACTGGTCCCTCTTCTGAAATCAGGGAACACTGTGGAAGAGAAGAGGAAAGACTGTAGAAGTCAGAGGGGATGGAGGGCACCCAGGAAACAGGGCCAACTGAATCAACTAAGCAGGGCTCATCTGGGCTCACAGAGACTGAGGCAGCAAGCACGGGGCCTGCATGGGTGTGCACCAGGTTCTCTACATACATGTTATGGCTGTTAGCTTGGTGTTTCTGTGGAACTCCGAACAGTACGAGAAGATGTGTCTCTGACCTTCTTTCCTGCGTTTGAGACTCTTGTTCTCCTATTGGGTTGCCTGGTCCAGCCTCAATATGAGGGATTTTGCCTTAGCTTATTGTATTTTATTTTGTCCTATCTGGCTGTCATCTCTTGGAGGCCTACTCTTTTCTGAAGAGGAAAGGAAGGAGGAGTAGATCTAGGGGAGAGGGGTGGTGGTGGTAGAACTAGGAGGAGGGGAGGAAGGGAAACCCGTTGGAATGTGTTGTATGAGAGAAGAATTATTTTCAACAGACAGAAAAGAAGTCCCTTACAGGAAGTGGGAATGCTAAAGTGGCTCTTTTCCTCTAGCTTGCTGATGTGTTGATGTGTACCATGCTTCTGTGAAACACTTGTGTGCCTTTGGGGGGCATAAGGAAGTCTAGAAAACTTTACTTCCTGACTTCAAGGACTCTGAATAAGACCAGAATACGCAAACTATAAAAAAAATAAGTGAACTAATGTTTACAACACCATGGTGTTTTACCGTTATAGGCAATGATTCGTGTGAATACCTTCTCTCAAGTGGCAGATTTCTTGGAGACAAAGTTTGGCAACCTCACAGTTGTATGATGCATAAATACAAAATGAGGTAAAATGTCTTCATATTGCTTGGGTTTTTCTTTCCTTGCATAATTCTTAATATGTAGTGAGAAGCAAACCTGAAGGTGACACAGTGCTTTGCAGGTGGGTGGAGACTTCCTGAGAGAGAGCTGGCCTGGCCTGGCCTGGAGCTGCCCCACAGCTTTAGAGGAAGGGCTTGGACCAAATAGCTTTATCTGAGATAACAGGTAATGAGGGCAGAATGTGTCAGGAGCGGATGTGTTCTGTAACCTGGATTCCTGAGCCCTCAGCACAGAGCAATGGGACAAAGGCCAGCAGAGTTAGGGTGCTTCTCGGATGTTTAACGCACGGGGTCTTATTGAGTTAGTTGGTAATGAGGACATAGGCTAGCAAGTTAAACAGACCTGGCTACCTAATTCTAAAGTTGTGTGACTGGCTGTCTAACACTTGTACTGCTTTTCTGTTTTATTTGTTTTTTGTTTTACATTAAACCATGTTCTTTCAACTTCAGTTAGGTTGACTTTGTTTTAATTAATGTTTTTTTTTCTCAATTTCAGTGAAGCAAAGAGTTGCCTTGTAGATAAACACATTGCATTTATCGGAGATTCCAGAATCCGTCAATTATTTTATTCTTTTGTAAAAATAATTAACCCCCAGTTTAAAGAAGAAGGAAATAAGGTAACTCCCCCTCATCCTGTGCCTTCCCCATGCTGGTTCAGACACTATCAAGTGGGCACAGGAGGAGCATGCTAACTGATAGTGGGGATGTGACTGTTCTTTTTTGATGCCGGGAACGAGGAGCATTTGCTGTAATGTGGGGGGGGGATGGCGGCTCAGGTCAAGACTCTTCTCAAGAATCAGTTTTTCTCATGGAAAGTTAGTGAAACCTCTTAGTAAGGAGACAAGGAGAAAGTACCTTAACCCTTGTTAGTACCCTGACACATTTCCTTTTAGCTTTTAACATATTTTAACTATTTAATAGGTTTTGAATTATTAACTAATGTTTAATTAATATATTTTTAATATATTTTCGTTTTTAGTATATTTAATATATCATAATCTTTCCAAGTATAATTTCATATCTTGCTTGCTCCCACTGCTTATCACAGTTCACCATATTATTGTGGATCAACTTAACTGTCTTTAGAAGCCACATATTACTGAGTGGCTATATGTAATTCCAGGTATTGACCCCATTTTTTTTATATTTTTTCTAGTTTTCTTAATTTTTTTGAACTAAGAAAAGGCATTTCCACTTACTTTGTTGAGTAAAAACACCTTAAAATTTTTAGTGTAGAATAATGCAAATATTGAGTGAAAGACTTTAAACATTCAGTGTCATTTGTTCTTGCTCCAGTGTTTCAGTACATACTGTAGTTAGCAGTGCACACTGGCGGCTTGCCTTCCGCAGCCCTCCTGACACTGGCATTGAGCTCTCAACAGAGACCGTAGTGCATGTATCTCTGCGCCTTTGATGAGGACTTTCTCATTTTAAAAATAGACCTTGCGGTGAAAACTGACAAGGATTACTCTCCTTCCATCTACTAATTAGCTAATTTGGGGGGAGTGAGCTATTCCGCTACATCCTTCTATTATATGTCTTTCTATCCTGTCTTCAAACATCCAGGGAGAGCGGGTGGCAGAGGGTGGATAATGCAGGCTCACAGTGCAGACCAATAGGAGCAGCTCATGAGTTTGCCATGGGAATCTGTCTGTCACATGAACTTTCCTGGTGGTACAGAACTGAGAAATGGGAGATGTTCACAGAGTGTGGTGACAATAGTGGGTCCTGTATCCTTAGAAACTGTTCCTCATAAGAATAATAGAAAACAGTGACGTTACCTATATATCGTTTGGTGTTTGTAAACATATATTCCATTAATATTTATACACACAAAATTTGATTTCAAAGAAACAGTTTAATATTTATAGGTTTAGAATTCCTTCTGGAAGTCAGTATATTGAGCTTGTCAGTTATTGAGAAAACTACAATGGCTTACTCTACACATATATAAAATGATATACAATATGAAATGTTTTATTTCCTAGTGGAATACTTAAGTTTGCAGCATTTTTCTAAGGATACCCAGTCATTCTGTAAATTATCAAACAAGATGCATTTTAACTTAAATACATTTTTAAAAGAAGCAAGAAAAGACAGTATGTCCCAGTTCTAAAGATACAGATATCAAGGAAACAACTCATTCCAACTTCTGAGCAAACCTTTGCCAGATTATATTTTGTATATTTCCTTTTCCCACATACCACAGAGGCAGACGTTGCCTATCCTGTGTTTGTTGTTGTTGAATAGAGTTAAGAGGTATAAATTCCAATTCCAAATAAAAGTAACCCAAAAATTTAAACTGAGCACAGATTTCCAGATTTCTTTCTGAAAAGAACACTTTCCTAGTTAGGAAAGTGTACCTAAAATAAAGAACTGGAAGACTTTGAGTTACAAAAAGAGTAGTCAGTGAATGCCTGCTGAATAAAATAAGCTATATTAAAACAAGAGAAAATAAATATTTAGGCAAGAACATTACCAACACAGAAAGTTGCTTTCTAATGATAAATGGTCAAATCACTAAGAAGATTTAAAAACTGTGAGGTGTATTATAATTGAAAACTTTCTCATTGCTCTTGATGAAGGAGGGACAAGCAAACAAAACTAGCAAACATGGCTGAGCTGTGGACATTCTTGACTTTTGCAGTGTTTTAGCCTCAACTTAGATGGCCACTGTTGAGAGTCTATGGTTGGGACTTAGATGGCCGCTGTGGAGAGTCTATGGCTGGTTTTACCCTCGACTTAGATGGCCGCTGTGGAGAGTCTATGGCTGGGTTTTGGTCTCGACTTAGATGGCCGCTGTGGAGAGTCTATGGCTGGGCCTTAGATGGCCACCGTGGAGAGTCTATGGCTGGTTTAGCCGCGTTACTCCACTAAGAAGCACGTTTGAGTTGTGTCAGAAAACTGGTGTCAGTCGTCTCTTTTTGGCAATTTATTGGAGCTGAACTTGAGAAAAGTTTTAGAAGCCTACAGTAAATTTTTTAATGGTGAAATGTAAGACACATCTTCATTAAAATCAGGGGAAAATCAATGATGTTCATTATTACCACCTCTCTTCAACATTTTATTAGTAGTACTAGTTGAAAAAAATGTAAAAATGTAAGGTTTGGAGAGAAGAAAACTCAGGAGTTCATATGGCACAGTTACGGACTTGGACAAAGGAGGGGAGCTGTTGATAGGATGAATATATATA